GGGCCAATCCCAGGACTACAAGGCGGTTTTAAAATGCAGGTAGGGCTGGGGGGTGAAGGGGACCGGTGGGAAAGGTAGGGCAGGGCTTCCCTTAAAGGAGACGCGCGAAAATGCGCGTCCCCCTATCGCCCCCGCGTCCCCGACCCTCCCTTTTCTCATTATTAATAAACAAATGCCCATCGGGTGGGCTCAGCTCCCTTCCTGGCTCCCGGGAGCACCAGCGTTCGGTGCAGTCCGAGAGAGGAGGAACAATGGGACCCTGACGTGGGGGGTCGGGCAGAGCTGCTCTTTGTCCTTTTCCGGGCCACCGACTTCCTCCACCCCAATCTCCACCTGGGTCCCCGCTTAAACTCGCAGAAAGGCTGTCTGTCTTTCCACTCCTAGCTCAGAACTGTAGAGCCGCCAGTTTAATCTCAGGGCCAGATCTCTCCCCTGTTGCCCTGGCCTGATGAGGCGAGGGGGCCGGGGACCTGCCCATTTCCTGGAGCGGCTCTCAGAGCCCTGTCCCTCCGCACACTCAACCGCTAAATTCCTGGGATTGGAGGAATATCTTTGGTTCGCTAGGTGGAAACCCCTGGGAAAGGCCAAGGAAGGTTTTCCACCCTGGACATAAAGCTGGGGTCCAGAGGCACACAGCAACGGGAGAACCTTGCCCCGCCCCGCATCGTTGCGGGGCATTCGGATCTTCCTACAGCCTGTAAGTCGAGTCCCTAAAGCGCTTCTGCAGTGAGCAGGCCGAGGGGAGGGTGCGTTTCCCCTGGACCTGCAAGGAGATAACCCACCCCGGGCGCACGCACACCGGGGTAAGCTACCCAGGGCCTGGAGCGCGTGCCCGCGCAGCAGCTGACATCCCTTTTACCGTTACTCAGCCGTTTACTGAACCACTGCGTGTGCCCTCTCACACCTTCCCCGGCGCGGGGGGGATTCTACCCGGACAAGACTACAGCTGAGGGTACTTGGCATTCTTGGGAGGTGTATGATAACGTGAGAAGATACTGTGAGGCTGTCTGCAGCACTATACAGGGAAATCGGTTGCCTTAGATCTTTTCTGGGAGGGGCTAGGACGTAGGAGCTTGGATCTGAGCCGGTGCAACAAGGACAAAGGTAATGAGGGAGGCTGTCCAGGTGGAGGGAGCAGCTAGTGGAGTGGCCTTAGGGGTTGGCCTGTTAGTGGCCGGTTCAAGGGGAGGCGGGGCCGGTGAGATGGCTCAGCAGGTAGAAGCCTGATGCCTAAATCTGAACACCTGAATGGATTCCCAGGACCCACGTGATGGAAGGACAGACCCTACTCCCTCAAGTTGTTCTCTGACCCCCCATATGTGGGCCATAGCATGCAAAACCTTCACCCACAAATAAATAAATGTAATATTTAAAAAAAAAAAAGAAGGGGAGCCTAGGTGGCACCTGTCACTAATCCTAGAACTTGAAGGTAGAGGCGGGGTGAGTCTCTTGTGAATTCCAGGCCAGCCTGGACTATAGAATGAGTTTAAGAAAAAAGATGAGTCATGAGGTGTGAGGTCAAAGGGCAGGCCCTGGTGTGACCTGAAGCAGGAAAGCTGTCTTGGATCACCTAAGAGACCTAAGCTGTCTTGGGTCAAGGGTTGGGCTAGATTCGGTACTCTTACCCCCCTCCCTCCTTGTAGATGAGCTGGAGAAAGGGGTAGGGAGAAGCTGAGCCCCAGGGGTGCTGAGGCCAGGCACACACTCAGCGTGTGTGAGTCAGCTGTAGAGGGGTTCGATGTTGGGCAGGTCCAGCCCAGCACAGTGTGGGTTTAAAAAGGAGGGGACTTAAAACAGTTTGTGCCTGGGGAAGCTGCAAATCTGTTTTCACCCCCAGGAAGCAATTGGGGAGTTCTCCAGGGAGAAACTGAGAGGGGGGGAGCAGAGCACACACCAAGGGGGACACTTGGCACTCACCAGGGAAATTGCTGAGACAATTCAATTTGTCCTCACTTTGTGGAAGCCTTTTGTCTCCCAGTGGTGTTCCTATGGCCTACAGTCTCTGTCTTCTGATTCTCCAGGGTAACAGCTTCAGTTGAGAAAAAATGAAACCTTTATCCAAGCAGTGGTTCAGATCATCTACACACTACTGACTGGAAAAGCCTTCCTCCAGGACCATGACAAGCTCCTGCCTGGGAGAGATTGGGGGAAGGTGCTAGCATGGGTGTTGCTTGGGTGGTATAAAAGGCTCACTACTCCCCATTGCTTCACTCACTTGGTGAGAAGAGGATCCCAGGACTGAACAAGCACCCCAAAGCAAGAGAGGATCTCCAGGACAAATGTACTGTGTCCCCTAGAACACTCAGAGTCCGGTTTAGGCACATAGCAAGTTCAAGGCCAGCCAGGGCTACACAATGAGATCCTGTCTGAAAAAAGCAGTTCCCCATGCACTGCTAGTGTGAGGGGCTCTTATTCCTCCCCATGCCTGCAACCCTAAGCTCAGACTCCTGCTTTGGCAGCCCTAGCTAGTTGCCCAGAGAATGACTGGCCCTTCAGTACATGGCCCACTGAGTTTGAGGCCCTTGATTTAAAGGGAGGAAACTGAGTCCCAGAAAGGAAATATTTTGCCCAAGGTCACTTTCATTCATTGGTTTACCAAACACACACATGCTCCGATACATAAGTGCCACCAATTCGAGAAGCAAAAGCACCACTCTTAGAGCTTCTCGGGGGCCCTGAGAAAAGTTTTCCTGGGGACGTGGAATCCTGAAAGCTGAGGGGTGATTGATTGGTAGAGACCAGAGGGTGGGCACCAAGTGAACGAAGCAGCAGAAGCAGAGGCCAGGATGAGCCATGGAAGAGCAGTTGGAAGGTGCAGGCATGTGTCCAGGCATGGAGAGATGGGGGTGGGGGTGGACACAGCCGTGGAGCAGAGCTGAGGAGACGGTGAGTTTGTTAGCACCATCCTTCTCCGGGGGTTCTTCGAGGTAACAGTAACAGCAATAATAACCAGCATGAATGACGCGTTCCCATAGCTGCAGAGACAGAATGCCACCCCTTCAGTTAACCTCCTGCACTGTAGGTACTTCAGCACTAATTAACCAAGGCCTGGAGTAGTTTGGACAGTTACCAACAGGAAGGAGGTATAGGAGGGAGTGGCCCCCCCACCCCTCCTCCTCTGAGGGAATGTCAACTGGCCCAGCTGCAGAGAACATAGCAGAGGCTTTTAGGTTCAGAGGGGCAGTGTCTATGGGTTTGCTTGGGTGCTAAGTTCCGGCTCCAAATGCAGCCTTTGAGTCCTGCTTATGTATATCTCTATGACAGCTGGCAGCTGCTCCTACCACCCAGCCCTGCGGCTTCCAGATGGTTTGCATGTCAGGCCTGGGGTGCTACCTGGAGCCCCAAATGGACAACTAGCAGCCACACAAACACACACACACACACACACACACACACACACACACACACACACACACTGCAGAGATCTGAGACCCAGCTCCTATGTCTGAATATTTCATGGTAAGGGTGGAATGAAAGTGGCAAAGACCTTAATTGTTAATGGGGCTTCTGCTGGCTGCAGGCCCGGCCCTCCTGACCCCTTCTGTGTGAAACAGCAACCGTGAGTGGGTCATGATAACTCCTCTAGCACCCCAGGTCTTAGGCCCTGCCCTGTGTGAGGCTGGGCTGGAAAGAAGTTGACCTTTGACCCTCCAGCTGGTCAGAGAACTTGTTCCCCAGTTCTCACTCA